CCTCATCTCTACAATAAATCAAAAAATCAGCCGGGCGTGGTAGCTCATGCCTGTAATTCCGGCTACTTGGAAGGCTGAGGCGGAAAGATCGCCGGAGCCCAGCAGGTCGAGGCTGCGGTGGCCGGGGGCAGCCACTGCACTTCAGTCTGGGTGACAGAGTGAGACTCCAACTCAAAAAAATAAAAAAATAAAAAAGCATCCAATTCCGTAGCTGTGACAGACCTCAAAATCGTCTCTCGGGAGGGAGAGATCAAAGGAAAGGGGAATCCCAGGAAGATCTCCACTCCCCACTCCTGCACGAACAAGAACACTTCTAAAATGAAAACCTCAGTTTTGGCACACGGCCTTCGAGGACTGAGGTAGTCATGGCAACTGGGAAGGGTCTTTTTAGTTTGTAAGATTCAGATTCTGAAACAATTGACTGCATTGGGGAGAAACCCCCGGAGGGAGGACTGCGAACCTCAAGTGCCGAATGGTTCCATCTCTGGGGAGAGAGCAACCTTTCGGACAAAATCTTAGTTGCTAATTGCCAGAGAGGAGGGCAGGCCCCAAGGAGCAGTCAGAAGCCTTTCCTCCGGGCGCAGGGGCATGGCTTCATGCTGTGGTCTTCGAGGGGAAAATGCTTTGGGAATACTGAAGAAATTGAGCAGGGGAACCAAACTCTTCTTTCTACCTACACGTGTTTTCAGAGCAATGCAAGAGAGACCATTTTCTCAAAGTAAGCAATCACTAGGCCGAGCACGGTGCCTCACACTTGTAATCTCAGTGCTTTGGGAGGCCAAAGCAGGAGTTTGAGACCAGCCTGGGCAATGTAGTGAGAACTTGTCTCTACAAAATAATTTTTAAAAATTGGTTGAGCATGCTTGTAGTCCCAGCTATTTGGGAGGCTGAGGTGGGAGGATGGTCTGAGCCCAGGAGGTTGAGGCTGTAGTGAACCATGATCATGCCACAGCACTCCAGTCTGGGCAACAGAGTGACTCCGACTTAAAAAAAATATCAAGAAAGGACCTAGTTAGGATTAGAATTCGCGTGATTCTAATGAGAGTGATGCTCATTTCAGTCCTGGGAAAATGGAAGATAGATGGAAGATAGATAGATAGATAAACGGATAGATGGTTGGATGGATGGATGCATAGATGGACGGATGGATGAATGGATGGACGGATAGATAGATGGACAGATAGATGGACAGACAAATGGACAGATGGATAGATGGACAGATAGACAGAGAGATGGATGGATGGATGGGTGAGTGGATGGGTAGGTGGAGAGATTGACGGATGGATGGATGGATCGGCAGACGGCTAGATCGACAGCTAGACAGACATATACATATACACAACCGTGAAAATGCCTCACCTTTCTTGCAATTTCTTGAGTCTTTCAGGGTCTGCCTTTATCTTGGTGACATCCTTGTCATCTGTGAAGCCAGAGGCTGCCAGTCTGTTCCTACCATCATTGTGATTTAGAAATTCAGACAATACAAAGAAAGCCGACGGTCTGTTGTCTTGTGGGGACCTGGGCACCTGCAGGTAGCCTGGTCTGTGCATTCTTGATGGAAAAGGGTCGGGTGGATCCACCAGGGACATGCCGCCCTGTGGATTCTGTGGGACACCTTCTGTAGAGAACGGAAAGCCCCGAGGTTGGCCTCTTAAAGCGGTATCTCCTGGCCCCCTGACAGCAGACCCATGCACACCGTTGCCTGGGAGATAGCTGTGGCTTTCAGCACCGGCACGTGGGTTCCTGCCTTGGGTGGGGCACAGCGGGCAGTGAACACCGAGCCTCAAGCTTCTCTCAGTGTCTGAGCTGCGAGCTGAAGTCAGGGACACCGACAGGTCTCCTGGAGTGATACTCCTCCGAGCAGAAAGTGTTGACGACCCAGGAGACTCCCAGGAGGGATTCGCCAACGACCTTGGAGCTGTGGCTCTTCCAGAAAGGAAGTCACCGCGATCACTTCCAGCCCTGGGGACTTGGGCTCGCCAGTCGCTCTCGTAATCATGGGCACCACAACTTCTGTCGCCTGTAGAAACACAGCCGCCTGGTGCGCCTTCAGTGTGGAAGCCATCGACTGGGCTGTGCTCAGTGTTCCATGGAGGAGAGACCTTTCTCTTGTTTTCGAGGCCCCTGCTGCCCTTCTCCTTAGTGGGCAGCCTGCCCGGCAGCCCGGGGCCTTGGAAGAACCTCTGCCCGACAGAAGGCGGCTCTGTTACCAGCTGCACCGTGCAGCTTCTCCCTAAGGAGCTGCATCTGGGCTCACCTCCTAACGAATGGCCGCTGCTGTGGTCAGCGTTTTCTTCCGGATGCTTATTTTTGGCCTTATTGGGGGCCGACATCCCCCCAAATCTGCTTCTTTTATGATTGAGAAGAGAGTGGGATGGGTGTGTACCAACCACTAGAAGCTCCTCTCCCATGTCCTTGCCTTCTTGTCCAGGGTTTGATGATAAAATGGAATAAAAGTCTCCGTCTTGGCGCCGAAATGACGCCCTCCCTGGCCCTCCCATGGCGGGGGATGTTGGCACGGGGAGACAGCCTGCCCCTCGGAAGGCCGGGGCTGAGTGTGGCTTATGCTGGTGAGGGGTACTCAAGTCTCCCTTCCGGGCTCTCCCAGGGGGGTTCCCAGTCATCACCGGCTGTGAGGACGGGACTGGGCTCCTTCTTCCTTGAGGTGGCCTCTTCAGCTTGGTGTCTCCAGCCCACACCGGGTTTCCTTGGACGGCTGAATCTGCATTGAGAAAGTACCATGTTATTGCTCTCATAAAAGTGCCACGGAGGAAAGGCGTCTCACGCCAAGTGTGAGGGAGGCCCTTGAAGGCCACAGGCGAGGTCTGCGTAGTTCCAGCGGCGCAAGGCCAAGGGGAGTGGGGTGGGGGGCTCCAGTGACACTCCTGTCGCAGCTCCCGCGCCCTCTTTTGCACACTGTGGAGCTCAGGCCGGCTCTGGGGAAGCGGGCTAGCCCTGAGGATACGGGTCCTTTCTGCAGAAGCTTCCAGAAGCCTAGCCCAGCCCCAGCCAGTCGGGACTGAGGACGGGTGAGCCTTTCCCTAGACACCTATCTCCATTCCACACTTGCCGAAAGGGAAACCCCTTCCTCTTCACCCAGAGGCCTTCAGCCTGTGTCTGCGGCAACCTGCTTCCCACGCAATGCCGCAGAAACTCAAGGGTATGACCTCCGTCATGGCTCCTCTGCAGCAGACTGGGAGGGAGACTCTGGAAGCTGGTGCCCGGCCTGCTGAGGATTTTGGTCATGTCCACTCTCTCGTGCAAATAAAAACTATCAATCTTGCTGGGCACAGCGCCTCACGCCTGTCATCCCAGCACTTTGCGCAGCTGAGGTGGGAGGATTGCCTGAGCCCAGGGGTTCGAGACCAGCCGGAGCAACCCGGCGAGACTTTGTCTCTACAATAAACCACACAATTAGCCTGGTGTGGTGGTGCGCGCGTGTAGTTCCAGCTGCTCAGAAGGCTGAGGCGGAAGGATCGCCTGAGCCCAGTAGGTCAAAGCTGTGGTGGCCGTGAGCGTGCCTCTGCCCTCCAGTCTGGGCGGCGGAGTGAGACTCTGACTCAACAACAGCAACAACAAAACCAAACTATCACTCTTGCCAGGTGTGGAGGCTCATGCCTGTCATCCCAGCACTTCAGGAGGCCAAGGTGGGAGGATTGCTGAGCCCAAGGGTTCGGGACCAGCTGGGGCAAATTGTCGAGACCTTGTCTCCATAATAAATAAAAAGTTAGCCAGGCATGGTGGCTCATGCCTGTAGTTCCAGCCACTTGGAAGGCTGAGGTGGAAGGATCTCCTGAGCCCAGAAGGCCAAGGCTGCGGTAGCAGTGATCCAACAGCTGGATCCAGCCTGGATGACAGAGTGAGACTCTGACTCAAACAAACAAACAACAAAACAAACCAAAACAAAACCCCAAGACCATCCCTCTCCTATGACACCATCCTCTCCTCCCTGTCCCGAGACCCACCAGTCTGCAGCCTCTGGCCGCGTGGACTCCCGGCCTTCCCGCCCCTCCTGAGTCTAAGGCATGCAAGGTTGGGAGGGAGCGGCCGCGCGAGTGGGAATTCCTGCTGGCGAACTCTTGCTCGAAAGGCCCGTGCACATGACCGAGAGCACTGCTTGCGGGAGGCCGCCACAGCCTGACTGGGGCCGAACTCCCTGAATCAGCACACAGTCACAGTCTCATGACCCCACGAGACAGGCAGCCCCCTCACACACGTGGCAGCTCAGTGATGGAGGGACAGTCAAGCCGCAGCACCAGGGTTCGTGTTCTCCGTTGCTCAGGCTGGAGTGCAGCGGCACTCTCCCGGCCCCCGCAGCCTCGACCTGCTGGGCTCCGGTGATCCTTCTGCCTCAGCCTCCCAAGTAGCTGGAACTACAGGCCTGTGCCACCACACCCAGCTAATTTTTTGATTTATCGTAGAGGCGAGGTCTCGCCAAGTTGCCCGGGCTGGTCTCGAACCCCTGAGCTCCAGCAATCCTCGCGCCTCGGCCTCCCAAAGTGCTGGGATGACAGGCTTGAGCCACCGTGCCTGGCTAGGTTTGTGTTCGTAATTACTACCCCGTGTCATCCCTCCAGAGCCTTCCCTTGTGAAAATGAAGGTCCGTTAGGCTGGGTGCCGTGGTGCACGCCTGTCATTTCAGCACTTTGGGAGGCTGAGGCAGGAGGACTGCTTGAGGCCAGGAGTTCGAGATCAGCCTGAGCAATACAGCGAGACCCCCCCATCTCTACAAAACAATTGAAAAAATTGGCCGGGCGTGGTGGTGCACACCTCGAGACCCAGCTACGCAAGAGGCTGAAGCAGGAGGATCAACTGAGCCCAGGAATTTGAGGCTGAGGCGAGCAGTGACTGTGCCACGGCACTCTACCCCGGGTGACAGAGTGACACCTTGACTCCAAAAGAAAGAGGGCCCGCTGAGGTCGCCATGATGTGTGAGGGTCCCCCGCCGGCGTGGCGGGAACAGAACGTGCCCCTCGGCGCTTGCCCGTGTCCCCTCCCGCTGCCACCTTCCTTGCTCTGTCCCTCTGGCCTGTTCTTTCCACAGCGCTCTGCCCCACGGGCGGGCAGGACGCCACGGCCCAGGCTGCCCAGGCCCGTCCTCCCGGCCGTGCCCGTGCCTGCTCGCCGCGTCAGAGGCGCCGCTCCACGGTCCCCGCCCTCCGGATGCTTTCTCAGGACCGGCTGTGCGGGACACGCGGCAGCACCTTCACCGGCTCTCCCGGAAACCGGCCTCCCGCAGGCCTGGCAGGCTCTGGGGGCCTCAGTCAGACTCCCAGAGGGTGGGTCAAGGCCGCCCTTCGCGCCCTGCTTGCGTGGGCAGGAGGAGGGGCAGGCGGGCCCACCCAGGCTGGGCCGACCCCGACCTGGGGACCGGGACCTCCAGATAACCACTGGCTGCCCCGATGACTTTTTTGACGGAAATGTGATCTGGAGAAGTTGGCCCTGCCGACTCCAACTGGTGGCATCTTGTTCTGCTTCAAACGGAGGCCCCAGAGCTCAGCGAGCAGTGCTGGGCCCCGAATCTTCTGGCCGTGCCTGAGCACCTGGGGCCCACCCGAGGACAGAGCTGCCCCTGCCCCCTGCCCTGGCCCGCGTAGCCCGGGCTGACCGGTGAGGGGGACACGTACGGTGGGCAGGGCGCCTTCGGGGCAGAAGCGGCTCACACAGCAGAGTCACGAGCTCGTTTCACGGAAGCCACGGAGCCGTCATGGGGAGGCACCGGCCTGGGTGGACGTCCACGCCCGGGGACACGCCGTCACCCTTCTCGTCACCGTAGCGGTCTTCCCCTTCAGAAACGGAACCCGAGCTCCCCGGGCACGTGTTTCCCATAGAGGTGGCAGACAGCGCCACTCTGCAGTCACGCCACGCGAGCCCTGTTTTTGATGTGTCTCTCAAATCGGGCAGATTTCAGAGCTCTAGGCTGGGAATAGACCCCAGGTGGTGAGCCAGGGAAGTGCCATTCACAGGCCGGGCCCTGCGGATACACTGCGGCCCCTCCTAGGCCTGCCTGGTGCCAGCTGCCGGGAGCGCTTCCTCGCTGAGAGGCCCAGGGCCGGAGAGGGACCCCACACGCGTCTGTCTGCCCAAGACTGGGCCTTGGGTTGCGGCGTCTTGGTGTGCTTTCCTGTCTGCCAACAGCCACTTACTTTTGATTTCTTCCTCTGGCTATAAAAGTGGTTTATGGTCATTGGAGAACATTCGGAAGCGACAGAAGAAGAAAATAAAGATGGCCCGTGATCCACATGGCGGATGGCCCCTGCCCCTGTGCTGGAATTCAGGGCTGGACTGCTGGCGGGAGACCCTGGGCTCTTTTCATCCTGCAACTGTACTTGGACTCCGTCTGGTTTCTTTTTTCAGAGCGAGGACCTTGCTCTGTCCCCGAGCTGTGGTGCGATCCGAGCTCGCCTCACGGCAACCTCGGCCTCCCGGGCTCAAGCGCCCCCCAACTCAGCCTCCCGGGTAGCTGAGACTACAGGCACATGCCACCACGCCCGGCTGGTTTTTCAAAAGGTTTCTTGGTAGAGATGGGGTCTCCTGTGCTGCCCAAGCTGTATGCTGTCTCTGCCACGTCGCTTCCAGTCTCGCTCAAGATCCAGATCGGACACGTGCTCCCGCTCCGACTTATGCAAACCACTCCAGAACGGGGGGGAGCTGAGGGAGACCAGGGAGGAAAGAGCTGGGAGTAAGGAGCCCTGGGCATGGCAGAAAATCCTCAGTTATCGCAGGGTGGTGGGCAAGGTCTCTTGGCTGCAGCCGGTGGACTGTCTGCCTGAGGGGGCCGGGAGCACTTCGTCCATGGAGAGCCTCGCCCTTCAGATGGCATCTGGCAGGTCGTGGAGGCTACTGGGGAGTGGGTGGCGGGAGAGAAACTACCAAGAGCTCAGTGCCTACTCTGTGAACCCTCTGTGAGCCGGGTGCTGCTCCCCATACTGTTTTACTTAGTTATCGGCCGGGTGCATCGGCTCACGCCTGTAATCTCAGCACTTTTGGAGGCCGAGGCGGGAGGATTGCTTGAGGCCAGAAATTCGAGGTCAGCCTGGGCAGCATAGCAAGACCCCATCTCTATGAAATAAGAAAAAGATGCATTTTACTTATTATTATAACAATGCAATGAGATGACCCTCATTATCCTTACTTTGAAATAAGAGACCCGGCCGGGCTCGGTGGCTTAGCCTGTAATCCCAGCGCTTTGGGAGGCCGAGGTGAGTGGATTGCCTGAGCCGACGGGTTTGAGACCCCCAGACAACTTGGTGAGACCTCATCTCTACAACGAATAAAAAAAAAATCAGCTGGGCGTGGTAGCGCGTGCCTATAATTCCAGCTACTCGGAAGGTTGAGGCAGAAGGATCGCCAGAGCCCAGCGGGTCGAGGC